GAAACCTGCAAGGAAAGATATCTATTCATGTCCTCACCACTGCTGTTAGAAAAGCATACTTGCCCTTCTTTTTCCTTTATTCCAGATCCTCCCAGTGTCACCTGTAAATACACATTACTGTAAAAGAAGCTACTTTTTACTCTGAGTCCTGAGTCTGTTCCCATCAGTTCCTCTGCTCTGGGTATCACAAACACCATTCCGCCTTCATAAAAAAATATTTAAAAAAATAATAAAATAATTAAAACATAAAAAAAGTAATAATGAAAAAAAATAAGCTTATTTGTCTTTACAATAATTTTGCAATTAAACACCTTCATTTGCACCACTATCCCATTCTATGTTTCAGGACCTTAAAGCAGTATAACTTTAGCTCATACTTGAAGTTGACCTTCATAAATATGCATTCTGATCAATGATAATTTAATTTTGTGAATGCCCCATTTTTCAAAACCCAAAGATTTTGTTTCAAATTATAGTTTTTGTACTTTTGACCACGTTACGTAATTTTACCATATTTTAGTTTTAAAAATATGTATTTCTTGAAGTCTCTGGACCAGTGATTGGCATCTGGCAGCCCCCAGGCCATATTTGGCCCTCAAGCTTGCCCCATCTTTCATAAAATGTCTTTAATTATTAATAAACTAAATATTAATTGTGTGAACAAACATCTCAGAAACAGCAGCTGTTTGATTGATCAGAGTACTCCCCCACATCTTGAGATCAGGCCTGGCTCTGATACAAAATCACACATTAAACACCTCAGTGTTCTTTACTGGGGAAATCAACCATCTTTTTTGCTTTAAAAATAGTATTTAATAATTTACCACACAAAAAAAAAAAAAAAAACTTTTTGATCTACCTAAGCCTAAAATAAATGTAAAATTTAAATTACTTATTATTTTATTGCCACTCTTATGACAGTTAAAACAACATTTTATCTTATTATTATGCATCCAAAATAATTTTTTATACAAAATGATGGATGGATGGAAGGATGGATGGATGGATGGTTGGCTGGCTGGATGGATGGATGGATGGATGGATTAAAAATAATTTTGAATTTGATAAAACTCCAGCTAAAACCCTTCAGATTCAGTGGCCAAAAATGAGGCCTTGATTTGGGTCATGCTTATAGTCACTCAGTGGCAGAACATAAAGGTTATTTCATTTTTATTTATTTTTTTACTTATTATTTTTTCTAAACCCCTACCTAGATACATTGCTCAATTTATGTTATTATTTTTTGTTTGTTTGTTTTTACTACCAGCTGCAGTAACCCAATACATTTGCTATGTCCTGCTTTGGATAAGCCAATGGGAGTCAGATGTTCTGAGCCATGAAGCATCCAATTCTGCAGCCTACATGCATGTGGAAGATTTTATATATATATATATATATATATATATATATATATATTCATCTATTTATTTTTTATTTTTTTGCAACATGCAAGCATGTTTTCGCTCTTTACATACAAACTAAATTTTGTTGGACAAGACATGAGGTGAAACTATGCAGCAAGTCCAGCCTTGGATGAGAAGTTTCTTCTAGGGTGAGTGAAAGATCCTCTGATAATTTTTACAGCTTGTTTTAAATATAGACAGATCACCATGTAGTGGTATAATATAAAAATCTAAAGTATATATATAGAGGTAAAAAAAAATAAAAAAAAATTGCTAAGAGGAACACATTATTTTATGATATAAAATAAATGTTGGCGATAAGTATATGGTAGGTTTTGCTATGGATGATTTTCCCTCTAAGGAACACAAAAGTGTATTGGTAGTAATGTTACTGTGAGTATTTGAAACATATCTGGATATTTGAAAAAATTAGAGATTTTTAGGCTTTTTCAGAAAAAAAAAAAAGTTTATTATTTGCACCAAATTAAATAAAACAATAAACACGTGGCTGTTTTTCCCCAATAAGGTCTTCCAAGCATTTAACCACAGACATGTGCAATATACAAACAGGCAGAAAGTATAGTTAAATAATACAATATAAAAAAATAAATCATAAAATATAACTTTTTTTTACTTGATAATGAATATGAGTTGCAACATTTCCCTATGAATACAAATCCTAAGAAATATTTTAATGATTAAAAAAAGTGGGTGCAACTGAAAGATCAATAAAATAAAACTCCACAATGATTGAACAAATTACTCTTTTTTTTTTTTTTGGCAACAGGAACAGTATTCCCTGCTCAAGACACAGTAGTTTATTTTCTCCATATTTGCATGTGATACAATGTGGGATCTACTGAAGGTTACCTAAAACTTGTGATTTCTGTGGCTTAAAATGTCAGCGGAATGCAAAGTCTGCAGTTGTGTCATTATGAATGACTTGAAGTCATTATTGGCTGACAGTAGCAGTCAGTCTTGGAGAGTGGCAGTTGACAGTATCATCCTGTTAGCAAGCACATCTTGCCTCGACTTGGTTTATTAACTTGGAAATTTTGCAGTTTGCCCCAAAATTGGTAATCTACTGGGAAAAAGCTCAAGAGGAGCATAAACAAACTCTGTCAGAACATAGATAAATAAAGTGAATTCAGTGTGCATTCAGGCACCTTTCACATTATGTAATCTTCTGTTGCAACTCAATGATACAATCACATTTCCCTTCATACACCGAGTGCATCAGAATGAGAAAAAAACAAAAACAATGTAAAAAATATGATAAAAGAAACTTAATAGAAAACTTTATCTTTAGTATTCAGATCCTTTACATACAGGATGTCTGCACATCCTTAAAGTCTTAAAGCCGTCCATCCATTACCTTTTACCCACTTCTTCCATTTTGGGTCACGGGGGTCCCCGGTGCCCATGTCTGTCAATCACTGTGCGAGGCGGGTATACCCTGGGCAGGTCGCAAGTACATCACAGGGCCACATAGAGACAAATGAGTCAAACAACCATGCACTCTCTCACTCTCACCTAGATGCAATTTAGAGTTGCCAATCAGCCTAACATGCATGTTTTTGGTCTGTGGGAGGAAACAGGAGAAACCGGAGAAAACCCATCATGTACAGAACGAACATGCAAACTCCACCTAGAAAGGCCACCGGTCGGGATTCCATCTGGCGACCTTCTTGCTGAGAGGCAGCAGCTCGACCAACTGAGCCACCTATCTTAAATTCATCAAGAAATTTGAAAGTTGATCTTAAATACATTATGTGGGGTAGGAAGGATTAACATTCTCTGTTGCCAGGATTGATTTCTGTCGTCTGTAAATATCAGGAAGGAAAAATATGAGAAAGCAAAACTGATTAAAGACATCCAATCCAATGATCGAGGGATTAAACTACTGCTTTCAACCAATAAAGAGAACCAGAGCCACAGTTTTATCTAGTCAGAGCAGGGCGGGTCGTGCTGTCTGATACACCGCAGGTGTGCAAAATGTTCCCAACTCAAAGACAGACTGCAGGTGAGAGCACCAATCAATGTTTCCTGGACAATTTTCAAAGGAGGACACTTCTCTATTTTAACCAAAGGTGTTGACGTAATGAAGTAACAATCTATGTTCTAAACATACTCAATGTGTTCACACTTGACCAATTTACTGCAGCCCGGGGAGATACCAGAACTGATACACCATCACTTATCTCCTCCTGTAATCCACCCCTGACCTCCCCGGGACATTTGTATCTAAAATCTAACTTTGTAAAAATGGTTATGTTCAGAACATCATCATCACCATCATCATCATCATCGTACAGATGTGCGACTTGTGTGAGTGACCAAACTGCAGGTCAGAGAGAAAGAGAGCAGCCGGAGTGTCTCTCAGAGAGATGCTGTGGCTGCTGCTTTAGTTCTTATAATTAAACAGTTACACAAAAAAAAAAAATCTTTTTTTTGTCCCAGATAATTGCAAAGATGTGTCTCTTTTTAACTTTATTTTGTTGTTAGGGTTAGTTTCAGGTGTTTGTATTTCATGACAAATATATGGAAAATATCCACCTCAGACGCAGGAGCAGCAGAAATGGTTATCTCTGGGCTCACAGGAAGGTGAGCTGCCAGGTCCAGCTCAGGTGAAGGATCTGTATACAGGAGACTTTTTAATGTATTAAGACTTTGGGGCTCCACAGATGACTTCCTGGTACTCCAGCAGCTCAAGAATCCCACTCTGGGGAGATGAGAAAAGACAGAAACCCACCCCAAAGAAGGAGCTGGGTATGTGGATCCGATGTAGTCAGGAATGCTCCCCAACAGCTGGATTTTTGGGGGGCTTACTGTTCTCAGATCAGAGTGGACCCTGATCCTCAGAACAAAGCTCTGGTGGCAAGAGCCTGCTGAGTCGTTTACAATTGTTTAGGACATTCTACCAAGGTTGATGGCTGGATGCTACTCTGGATGCATATTCTGCCATGAGATTCAAAAAAATAAGGTGACCAAAGTATATATACAGAGGTGCTGGACATAAAATTAGACTATCATGAAAAAGTTGATTTATTGCAGTAATTCCATTTAAAAAGTGAAATGTGTATATTGTAGTATTTCAAATGCATATGTCTTTTAATGTTGATGATTTTAACAGACAACTGAGGAAAACCCCAAATTCAGTATCTCAGAAAATTAGAATATTACTTAAGACCAATATATATATATGCATATTTTTAAGAGATGTTGGCCAACTGAAAAGTATGAGCATGTACAGCACTCAGTACTTACTGTAGTTGGGGCTCATGTTGTCTGGGTTACTGCAGCAATGTGGCATGGTGTGGAGTCAATCAGTCTGTGGCACTGCTCAGGTGTGATGAGAGCCCAGGTTGCTCTGATAATGGCCTTCAGCTCTTCTGAATTGTTGGGTCTGGCATATTGCATCTTCCTCTTAAGGTTAGGTGAGTTTGCTGGACAATTAAAAACAGCAATACCATGGTCCTTAAACCAGGTACTGGTAGCTTTGGCACTGTGTGCAGGTGCCAAGTCCTGTTGAAAAATGAAATCTGCATCTCCATTATGTTGGTCAGCAGCAGGAAGCATGAAGTGCTCTAAAACTTCCTGGTAAATGGATGCGTTGACATTGGACCTGAGAAAACACAGTGAAAATAAATCAACTTTTTCCATAATATTCTAATTTTATGACCAGCACCTGCATATAGAAAAGAAGGATGAACAAGTCATGAACTCCTGGGAAATGGAGGAATGTGAGTGGAATTTGCTCGGAGGCACACAAAGGAAACACACGAGGAAACCACAACGAGAAATGTCATGCAATGCACTGACAGGGAGAGGAGGACAGAACACACATAAATGCAGAAAAAAAACTGATCAGGGGGAATGAGGAACACCTGGGGAGAGAAACCAGGAACAGGTGTGCTGCATTAACACTGAGGAGAGGACTCAGGGAGAAAAAACAGATCGATAAAATATTTTAAAAGGAAAACACAAATAATAAAAAAAAGAAACTAGTAAGGAAACGCAAATCCTCACATTTTATGGAAGAAATCTGTCAATAAATAAATAAATAAACAAGTTAATAAGGACTTCATGTGTCATATATATATATATATATATATATATATATATATATATATATATATA